TGCGCCTTCCATTTCAAACGTGCGCGTACGCGCGCGTCAAAAAGAAATAAGAATTTAAAGTGCTTAAAACCCCAAACCAAGTTATCTTTTATACGTTTCAGACAATTGTAAGCGTTTCAAAAATTTCCGCGCGTGCGGATCTGTCCGCGTATTTGCGCGCATAACGTACGTGGAACGGAGAAATTCCTTTTTTTGCATTTTTTGGATTCCTGATACTTTCCTCAACAAATCCTGTAAATTTCAGTCAGTTTTGACACATAATGATGGAATAAGCGGGCGTCAAAGATAACAACACGCGCGCGCACACATTTGCAAATTTTAAAACAAAAACATGCCTATGTTTAATTGGTCATAACTTCTATAAGTGCCCGGATAATCCAATTTCTTTTAATAACTGGATTAAGTATGAGTTGTATATATTATTTTATACATCTTTTTGGCTTATCGGATTTTCCGATATCATCACATTGCTCGTTCAAGTCAAAACTTTTAATTTTAATAGATTTTAATTGATTAAGTAATTAATGACAATGCACGTTGGACCATATATCGTTCATCTTTATTCGAATTTCTCCCCCAAAAAAATTATTGTGTTGTTGCTGAGGTTATTTTTTAATTAATTGTGACATTTATTTTCCATTTGGATGACGGGATCATGACGAAATTTGTGGTCAAAGACGACGAGTCCAAATCAAACTTCAGTTTTTACACGCACTTGTGATGACGATCGAACTCAAATGATCGCAGTAAAATTGTAAACGTCCCACAGAAGTCTGCCATCACTATAAACGCGTCTTAGATTGGTCTTCACTTGTGCTCGTCATTAATTGTCTTACCGCTGGAGACTTGGAGATGTCTTTTCTCTAACTGCTTTTGATTCTTTTTTATGCTTCAAATTTGTCAGATCAAAATGGGATAAAAAAGACCCTTCGCAAGTCTGATCTTAAATTTATCGACCGTTGATACACCAGACCTACAGGCAAACGATTTAGATGACATATTTTATGATCCCACGGGCAGTGGAAACTACCTCGCACTTTTGGTCATCTTAACGTGTATTCTTTGTTCAAGGCCCCAATTCAATTCCAAATTTCCAACGTTATTTAAATTACACGAGGGTTTGTATCTTTCTACAAAATACACGATAAACAATTAGCCGAAAAAACCTCGTGTCAAGTTTAGCTGAATGAATGCGGGTATTATTCGATGGTCAAAAGTTTGTAAAACGACTTTGAATTAAAGGGAGACAAAAATCTTTTCTCAAAGTTTGTTTGTTGATTCAGGGAAGCAGGGTGGGATCCAGCCGGGGGCGATTCTCAATAACATGAAGCAAATAGTAAGCATCTAAATACTTCAGATGCCTGTTTGATTATGATTTAAATTTGACTGTATGCCTCAATCATATATAGAGAATATAACCACTAATTTCGCTGAAACGATTCTCCTCCCCGTTCTTCTTCATCTTCTACTTAGTAGTTGTAGTAGTTGGAGTAGTAATAGCAGCAGTATCATAATAATCATTGCTATATTTATAATTATAGTACATATCGTAATTATAATCATTATTATAGTAAGTGTGTGTTATTGTTATTATTCTTATAGTTATTTGTATGCTTTTTCTTCTGATCATAATTATCGTATACACAATACGTCATGTGCCAATAATTTATTGCTATGATACATCCAAGATGTCTACCAAAACTGTCAATTCGTTGCTGAAATAATCAAGCCAAAAGAAGGAACATTAGAATTTCTACTTTAAATTGAAATAAATTATATAGGAGAAATAAATAGAGAATACAATCATGATTTTGGAACTAGGGGATTAACATGGACATAATGCACTTGTTTACATGACCACAATATCTCTTATTCATTCTACCTCCAATTTTTCAGACTGTTTTCAAAACAATATCATGTTTGTCGATCATAGTTCTATGAAGCTTGATGTCTCATGGTAAGCAATCTAAGCAACAATTTCTGAATTTTAGCGACAATCGTTCGCCTTTGCTGCTCTTTAAAGGTGAAATTCAAAGAAAATCACAAATATGTCAACTAATGTATCACTAGAAACTGGTAAGCTAACAGATTGCCATCGTACAAGTTTTAGGTCAACTACATATCGGGTGATTTACAAAAATACAAATACAACCACCTCCATACTAGCTGGAATATACGAGAGATTCGCCGGAAAAATAATGATGTTTTAATGACGTCACTATATGGACCAATACTGCCCAAGCAGACGACATCCCAAAAAAGAATGAACATAATTGCAAAGCTATTATTTGTCAAATTATAATGAGTTTAGTGTATATAAATGTAATGGCATGTCAAACCATTCAAAAGGGATATGACCCGATTCTGATAACTAAAATCTTTTGCTTGTAAATACACAGGATAGGGGTTAATTAACAATCAAAGAAACCAGATTTTCAAATTGAAAAACCCCCGGAATGATATTAAGGACGGCATTTTGTTCCCTCTTGAAACGCCGAACATACCGCGTAGTGTGCAGCTGAATATACAATGGCGTCTTATTTTGCTTACAAGCAACAGATTCCTTTATTTTTGTATCGCTGCATTTGTCATCAAAATAAACCATGCGCGGGGTTTAGAGTGAGGCAATAGATTATACATTTAGCCTGACGGTAGTGAAGTAAGAGAAAGAACTCAAGAGAAGATGAAAACACAGGCACTGAAAATGTGTGAGATGTCATGGGACATCGTCTGCTTGTGCAAATCATGTCCATACTGTGATCTCACACATCTCAGCAGCGTTCGGAGAGCTCTTCAGGTGCTATGCCGGGGCTGTATTTAAGCGTTTTGTAATTTATAATAATCATTACTTCGAATGTGTCCACGCATTGAATTTTGATAACCTTGTCGAATCAAAGCTTCAACTTTGCAATAATGAAAATAAAGTTAGTTTTTAAAATCAATGAATATCTACTTTAATACTATTATGACGTGCAGTAAGAAATTGAAATATCAGAACTCATGATAAATTCGTTTAATAGTTGATTCCACTTGGTTGATTCTATTGTTCGGGTTATTTAGCAGAACGAGATAGAAATTGACATTCTCATGGCTAACGTTTTATCGTTAGTAGTTGTTTGTCGTCTCTACAATGCTATTTGAACAATATTTGGTGACAAAAGACGGCATTTCTTTGTAGCGTCAAAAGACGGCATTTCTTTGTAGCGTCAAAAGACGGCATTTCTTTGTAGCGTCAAAAGCCGTCAAATAACAAAAACATGGCACATAAAAAGATCATCAGTACTGGGTCTGATTTAAAGGAAACTTAATTTGAACCCGGCCATATTCTGTCTCTCTCTCTCTCTGTCGCTCTCGTTTGTCATTGCCTTCATTTCCCCTCGCTTACTTCATTCTTACCACGGAATATGTAATGTGTATGCACGTGTATGCCTCAATCATTGAGAATATACTCACTAATATCGCTGAAATGATTCTTCTCCTACCCCTTTTTGTTCATTTACTTCTTCTTAGTAGTTGTAGTTGTAGTAGTAGTAATAGCAGCAGTATCATAATAATTATTATTATTATCATTGTTATATTAATTATTATAGTAAATATCGTAATTATAATCATTATTATAGTAAGTATGTGTTATTGTTATTATTCTTATAGTTATTTGAATGCTTCTTCTTCTTATCATTATTATCGTATACACAATAAGTCATGTGCCAAGAATGCATTGCTATGACACATCCAAAATATCTACCAAAACTGTCAATTCGTTGCTGAAATATTATCAAGCCAAAAGAAGGAACATTAGAATTTCTATTTTAAATTGAAATAAATTATATATGAGAAATAAAGAGAGAATACAGTCATGATTTTGGAACTAGGGGATTAACATGGACATAATGCACTTGTTTACATGACCACATTATCTCTTATTCATTCTACCTCCAATGTTTTCAGACTGTTTTCAAAACAATATCATGTTTGTCAATCATAGTTCTATGTAGCTTGATGTCTCATGGTAATTTAATCAATCTAAGCAACAATTTTTGAATTTTAGCGACAATCGTTCGCCATTGCTGCTCTTTAATACTATTATGACGTGCAGTAACAAGTTGAAATTTCAGAACTCATGATAAATTCGTTTAACAGTTGATTCTACTTGGTTGATTCTATTGTTCGGATTATTTAGCAGAACGAGATAGAAATTGACATTCTCATGGCTTACGACTTTGCATTAGTGTTCATCGTCTCTACAATGCTATTTGAACAATATTTGGTGACAAAAGACGGCATTTCTATGTAGCGTCAAAAGCCGTCAAATAACGAAAACATGGCACATAAAAAGATCCTCAGTACTGGGTCTGATTTAAAGGAAACTTTATTTGAACCCGGCTATATTCTCTCTCTCACTCGTTTGTCATTGCCTTCATTTTACCACGGAATATGTAATGTGTATGTGTAGGCCTCATTATGTTAACTAGGGTCAATGGTTAAATTGTCTCAATATATCTTCATACATTCATAATGATCAAGGCTAAACAGTAGAAACTTGACATATGGATAGATCATAATGGGAGAAGCATTTTATATAACAATATGACATCGTGAAAATGCATTCTTCATTATGTAAATCATGAGCATTCGTATCACCTAATTCGTCAAAGTGACGAATTAAAGTCTAGTTATTATTATTATTAAAATGTGGATCCAGATTTAGTCCAAACTCCAGGAAAGCAAGTTGTACCTGAGATTCATATTTGTAGTGGAACAAGTAATCCACAGCTACGGCACCATTCAGATGGATTAAATCATCCAGCCGGGGGATGTTTAAGATTTGAAGAAGGAATATATTTACAGAGCAAGAATGGATCAAGTTATCCAGCCTTGAAATAGGTGTCTCCTGAGAGGAAGGTTTTTTCTAAGATAGATAATTAGATAGTAGAGAAACTTACTGTCGACAGAAAAGTGGAGGAAGCAATCCACAACAGTCTTACAAGAAAAGTACAGAGATGAATAAAGGGGAAAAGATTGATATTCCCAGAAGTCAGAGAAGTGGAAGAGAATCGTCTAGTCAACAGAGTGAAGGATTCAATGGTCCAAGACCAACAAGTGATGTTAGAGGATACCAGAGAAATGATGCAAAGAATGAGTCTGATCATAAGTCGCACTGTCTGTATACAAATGCAGACTCCATTATGAATAAAAGAAGCTGACTTCTAACCAGCATTGAAGAAAGTGAAAGCTTGGAGGAGTTAAAAATTCAAGCAGCTGGACTTGAAACAGATGGCTATGACTGCTTCACCAATGGAAATGATGGGAGAGGTGTATGTGTTTACACAAACAAAGGGCTCAAAGCTAACAAAAATAATGACCGGATATGGTTTTCAGAGAAAGTGTCTAGTGCGAGATCAGTCTCCAAGACGAAGACAATCTTCTTGTTGGATGTACGTACAATTTCTCTTTTTTCCTCTTTTCTATTCCTGTTTTGATTGCAGGTCACAGGGGCAAATAAGGGCATCGGCTTTGGTATTGTCCGAGCTCTTTGCAAAGAACTTGGAGAAAGGGGCGTGGTCTATCTAGCCAGCCGGGATGAGGGGCGTGGTGAGAAGGCGGTCCAGGAGCTCAAAGGGGAGGGGCTTAACCCAAGATGTATTCAACTGGACATTTGTAATAACGACCATATTTTAAAAGTTGCCGACTACTTCCGGGATACCTATGGAGGTCTAGATATTTTGGTCAACAATGCTGGTATTTCCTTTACGGTACATCAAATTTATGTATATTATTATTAAAGTGACTCGGTAACATTGTTGAAGGTTGATGAAAAATTGCCTAATTTCTGTATAAAATGTTACTTGCTAAAATCCTTCTACAGTACTAACCAGGGGCGGATCCAGGCCCCCCCCCCCCCCTTTGAGAAAAAAAATCATGCAAAAACACGTGATTTTTACCTTTGTAGGGGTTGGGCCCCCCCCCCCTGGCGTTCAAGGGGTGGGGGGGTGCAAATTTTTCGAGAACCAAAAAAAAAAATGTGCTCACTACCCCCCCCCCCTTACAAAATACACAAAGGATGCCAACTTTTTACCAATTGATTTCAACAGTTCAAGAAAAAGAACAATATTCTACATGTATATGAGTTAATACCTTTGATATATCTACATTAGCTTAGAAATGTGTTTAATCTTAAATACATTTCCTCTAGTTCCTTAACACTATTTCAATTCATTATGAATGGAACTATTCTCTTTCCTCTTTTCATTTCTTAACCAGGCTGCTGCGACAGAACCAGATAGTATTCAGGCACCCGTTACCGTAGAAACCAATGTGTTCGCCACGCTTCGGCTGTGTCGAGCTCTCATCCCGCTCATTCGATCTCATGGCAGGTGAGAAAGTTTTCTTTTTGTTCAGCTACATTTTTTTGTTAACAACTTGGCCAGACACTGACTACACTTACTTTTATCTTAACCATAGTATTGGGAAGATTGCTGCCGTTTCTGGAGTTGGGTTTCCACTTCTAGCTCTTATTGCTGCTCAAAGAAATGTGATTTTCTTTTTAAAATTCAGATACTGCCCGCCAAATGACTTTTTGGTTTCCTCTCTTCAAATTGATCACTCATGCGTGAGATATGAATCATATGAGTTGCATTAAATGAAAGAGGAGGTTCTAAGCTTTCCAAATATGTGTCATTTGTTAACTATAATTGTAATTAAGTTATGATAAAACATCGATAATTCTCGGTTTCGTTTTTTCTGGGACGCACTGTATAGCTATTAAAAAATTGTTTCATTTTGTAGAGTTGTTACTATGGCCGGTCAACTTGGCTCATTGGCTTACCAGAAACTTGGTCCGGATTTACAGAAACGATTCAAAACTGTGTCTACAGAACAGGGCATCGTTGATCTTATGACTGAGTTTATCAGGTGAGGTCAATATCGTAATAATAATAATAATAATATATGAGATTTTTAAGCTCCGAATCCACTCGAAATCGAATTCTCAAGCTCCACCTGTGCCAAAAAAAATAATAAATCACATAAAACATCTTTCAATATAATAGTCAAATTCATAATTATAATACATGATTTTCCAACAAACTTCATTTATGGTCTGTTAAGTCTAGTTATGAAGCTAATCAATGAGTTATCTAGGTCCTAAACAGTGGAATACGATTCCCCAAGTAATAACGAAATCACAATTCATATCTTCCTTTATAAAACAATATAAAATCTTACTACTAAATAATTATTAATCAGCACAGTTGTTGATTTTTTTTTTAATTGTTTATATCTGAACCCTCTCTCATTGTTGTTTTGTTTTCTTTCTTTTTTCTTTTCTCCCTTTATATATTGTTTTCTTCTCTCTATTTTACTTTCTCTTGACTTATAGATAGTTGAAGTGTTTGTACTTTGCTTATTTTACTTAATTTATTAATTTGTGCTTATAATATTTTATATTTCTTTTTGTATTGTTTTTCATTCTTTAATGGGCGATCCAACTTCACAGGTTTTCGCAACCTTCATGGAAAGCCCCACATAAAACCTTTGTAAACATAGTTAAAATTTACAGTTACTTTGTATATTTTGATTTTTATATTGCAAAATAAAATTTAATTGAAAAAAAAATGAACATATGTTCTTTTTAATATAAAACAGTAGTAAAAAAGAACATATGGGTGATGGCTGATTTTATCGGTGTAATATATAGAAAACTGAAAATTCACTTCGAGGAATTTAGTTGTGAATTAAAGAGCTTATTGTAAAATAAGATTTGTTTTGTTGTTGTAATGATAATATAATGATAATAATGATATTAATAATAATATTAATAATTATAATAATAATAATAATAACTATGATAATAATGGTACATATAATAGTAATAATGCTAATGTTAATAGTAATAATGAATACAAATCATGATCATGCTTACCTCAAACATCTTCTTATAATATACTGTGTAGAAGGAAAAAGAATATAAAAGCAAAACAAAAAAATAGAGAAGAGTAGGATACACATATTTCGTAAATATTACAGTTAGTAATATAGATATCTTTTTTGTTTCTTACAAAAATTGTTTTACAATTGATGTTAATAAAGCCTCTTTCAGATTGTTTTTAATGAATCATTTCAATCCAGTGCAGCTAAAGAAGTGAAGAAAAAGGAGCTTGGGTGGGGCTCATCTAACTATGGAGTGAGCAAGCTGGGTGTGATAGCCCTTACCAGAATCCAGGGACAAGACATCATCAAGGACTCGGGCAGGGAAGATATCCTCATCAACTGCGTGAGTAGAACTGTCAAATAGTTAGTAATACTTATAAATGACTCTTGAGTCTTGAGATGTAGTTATATTGAAACAAGCAAACAGTATTTGTAGCTCTTTTAATAGGATCCACATGCAGAACTCATGAAGGATTCTAGCAATAAAGATATTCCCATCAACTCTGTAAATAGAATTGTCTTCTCTCTAATGCTCTTACTGCTACAGACAGCCCATCTCTACAACTTAAAAGAAATAAATATATACATGTGTCACTCCAGCTATTTTTCCCCATGTGTAACCAATAAGGTTTCTAAGGTTTCAGTATATCTGTAACTGATAGCTAATAGCCATAACAAAGCTTTAATCACAGAAAATATCAAATACAATGATTTTCAACACGCATTCATGATTCCACAATTCAGTTCAGTAATAGTTGGTAATTATATGGGACATATAACTTGGACTTGCCCATGTATTAAAGATACTATATCCCTTTTGCAGCCAACATCGAATTCTGTAGAACTTTGCAGGAATTGAAAATATGTCATGTTTGTCCTATCTGTGAAATTTAAACGTTAGCAGTGTCCTAATATTCAAATTATGCAAGGAAATCCGTTCACTTGCTAGACTTTACTGTCAGACACTATTGAGTGACTGACTGGCTTTTTTCTTCGTTGGTAATAACATACATAAAATGAGCTGTAAAGAGTACATGAGCATTTGTCTACATCAATAACCCACTTCTTGTAATGGCCAAAATTAAACTGATTGAATCTTTGTGCAGCATAAAATGTACGACCATTCAGACTGTTACTTACGGGCTCTATAGCTCTTTAAGTCGATTCGACAACTAATAGTCGTTATTTTCCCACTTAAAGACATTTCCAAGCCCTCTTTTTTTAGGGAAGTTCTAAATTAGTATTATCTTTCAAATGCCGTTTGAATTTAACCTTTTCATTTTTTGGGCCTTCAAATGGGACATAGTACCTTTAATGTAGCTGTTGTTGTATATTTGACATTGACTCTTGCTTATGCAGTGTTGCCCTGGCAACGTGGCTACAGACATGTCAAGTCACAAGGGACCGCTGACCATTGACCAAGGTGCGGTCACACCAGTCTATCTCGCTCTTTTACCCGGGGGATGTTCACACCAGGGACTTTTCTTCTACCAGAAAGCTGTAAAGGACTTCTGGGGCCCTGTTTCACAAAATCAACTGCTAAATTCTGATGACAAATTTGCTCTCAGCCAATCAGACGCCATGATTCCAGTAGCTTATAACAGTAGCTTGTAACTTGTTATTGATATCAAGTTTTATGAAACAGGGCCCTGGTCGCGTATTTTTTATTTACACGGCAGCGAGGGGAAAAGCTCGATTAATTCCAATGAAACCGCTCGCAGAGAGTCTAGTCTGTAGTGCGTGTACAATGATGATGTGTACTGATGACTTGTGTTGTCGATGTACAGTGTTGTTGGTAAGTTGGCCGAGGGTATGTATGTTCACGCTCTCTGTGCCATGGTGTCGCATATAATATCATACTGCCGTCTCTATTTATTGCATAAAAAATCCATCTATTTAGTTTTCTTGTTTTCCTTTTTAATTTGATGTATTTCTTCGTTTCTTTCTCTAGATCTACATGTTAAGTACAATTCCCGTTATAACTGCACTGCACTGCTATGTACTCGTACTCCGACTCGGTCTAGTCTAGACTCTTCGCGAGCGGTTTCATTGGAATTAATCAAGCTTTTCCCCTCGCTGACGTGTAAATAAAAAATATGCGCCCTGGTCAGGCATGCAAAACCTAACCATGCCTAAGTTTTAGCATTCCCTTCCAGGTTTTGTGATGTTTGCCACAGGATTTTGTTTATAATAATAATAATAATAATAATAATGGGTTCTTGTATAGCGCTCATGCCAGTCAGATTTGATCCTCCTGGTGCTCCCGATTTTATATAATTAATTAATGCTCAAGTATATTTCTTTCTTCCATTGTACAGTAAAAAATGGATATTTAGTGTAGCGATTATACCTCGATAAAATAACGATAAAATAACGAAAAGGGAATACTTTTGTTAATGTATTTTATTGTCAGTGCAACCTTGCTTTCTCATAGCTAAAATAAAATAGAGTTATGTTGTGTGATCTGTGAACATGCTTTTACAATTTCTATTCACAATACCTCACACACTCATATTTCTAAAGTATCTTTGTCTTGCCCTATATTTTAATAAAATAATACTACTCACTTGTATTGAGATATTGATAGATTCAAAAATCATTTAGTAAATACATATATCTCAAGAAGTATATTTTTGTTTGTTTGTCTGTTACTGTGTGGGGGGGGGGGTGTTATTTTACATGAAAAAACGACTAATTGTCATTTGGTCTACGGCAACTATAAAATTTCCACCTTTTATAATCCCACACGATCTCCCGAAGTCATGGAATTTGGTTTTCAAATTTCTGTGGAAACCCTGTATTATGATTATTATCATCTTGGTTATCATCATATCATTTCATTTGCAAAGTTTTAATGTTAATTGATTGATGTAATTTGTAATGCAAATTCTGTTTCCTTTACTTTTCTACTATTTTCCTTCTAAACCGCTTAAAGGCATTACGCAATTTGCGGTATAGAAATATCTTATTATTATTATTTTATTATCATCATCATAATTATTATTTTCATTGTTAATAATTTCATTCATATTAAAGAGATATGTAGAAATTAGCCAAAGGTGGCCTATTGATAACAATTTCAAGTCATTTAAGGTTATAACATCTATTGTGAATGCTTCAATCACCAATGGTCATTTCCCTGATTCTCTCAAACATGCTCATGTGACTCCACTCTTGAAGTCCACGAAGCTGAGTCCTGATGATCTAAAGAGCTACAGGCCTGTATCTAATCTTCAGTTCTTGGGAAAGACTGTAGAGAGAGTCGTGTTAAAACAAATCCAGGAGTATTTGTCCGAGCATAACCTATATTCTGAGATGCAATCAGGATACCGGCCACATCATAGTTGTGAAACTGCCCTGCTAAAAGTTTCAAATGACATTCTGCTTTCCCTGGATAAAGGCGATGAAGCGATTCTGTTGCTGTTGGACTATTCTGCAGCCTTTGACACCGTGAGTCATGATGCCCTTCTAAGCCGTTTGCATGATAGATTTGGACTCAAAGACACAGCCTTGGAATGGTTTCGATCCTACCTCACTAACAGAACTCAGTCTGTTTTTGTTAGCGACTGTGAGTCACATGTCAGCTCTTCGAACTTCGGAGTACCCCAAGGATCTGTTATCGGTCCGTTAGCATTTACACTTTTCTCGTCTCCATTGGAGGATGTCATTAAACACCATGGCATATCTTGTATGACTTATGCAGACGACACTCAAATTTACCTCGTGCTAAAGAAGGATAACCATGCTGTTGCTCTACAAAGACTCAGTGCATGTTTTACAGACATTAAGAATTGGTCCATACAGAATGGATTGAAATTAAATGAAAATAAGACGGAGTGTATACACTTTGTTAGCAGACATAGGACTTGTAGTCCGATTGATGATGTATGTCTTGATGGTACTGACATAGAATGTTCTACAGGTGCTAGAAACCTTGGGGTCACATTTGATAATAATCTATCTCTGAAGACTCATGTGAACAATGTATGCAGATCTGCCTCATTTGCGTTGCATAAAATCGGTAGCATCCGTCAGTTTCTTACTAAAAAGACCACCCAGAGACTTGTTCAGTCACTGGTCATGTCTCGTATTGACAACAGTCTTCTGTATGGTCTTCCTGATGCACAAATTAACAAATTGCAGAGAGTACAAAATTCAGCTGCTAGACTTATTGCAAAGCGTCGTTCACGTGAGTCCATCACTCCACTGTTTAGGGAGCTTCACATGCTAAGAGTCCGGGAACGAATTGATTTTAAGATCCTCTTGCTGACTTTCCAATGTTTGACAAAAACAGCTCCAGTCTACCTTCAAAGGGTGATATCAGAATACTTACCCTCCCGCAACCTGCGCTCAAACAAGAAATCACTCTTAATAGTTCCTGCCACCAATACCCAGTCTTATGGTTCCCGAACTTTTTATGCAGCATCCCCTCAACTCTGGAACAATTTACCTCAATGTATAAAACAAGCAGATTCAACAGACAAATTCAAATCCATGTTAAAAACCTACTTTTTTGTTAAATAGCCTTTTTCATTTGCATATGCAGCCCTCTCGATTGTCCACTATTTATTATGTATAACTTAATATTTGGCTGTAATTCCTTCTATTTCTATTTTTCTTAAGCGCTTAGAGACATATTTTGTGATAAGCGCTATACAAATGTTGTTAATTATTATTATTATTATTATATATATATTGGAGGGGTGGAGGGCCTAATGCAAACAATTAATTAACCTCCAAATTGCCAAATAATTATGCTTATCAGATACATAATATGAAATATGTAATATGAAGAACACTAATATTCTAATTGTTTAATGCAAATTTCAAAAAAGGTAATCATTGCTATTATTTTCTTGTGTCATAAATTGAGGGCAACATCCCCCCCCCCTCCCTCAAAAAAATAATAAATAAAAAATAAATAAATAAATAAAATGATAATACCTTGAAATAGGGAAATACATGACCCGTGACGTATCTAGACCGTGGTTGGGGGGGGGGGGAGCCAAAACATTGAACCTGAAGCGATAAACTTGTAATTATAATAAAATGCTCAAAGAAGACCAGATAATGCAGTCTTTAATGGTCCTTACGTACAGGTGTACCAGAAGCAAAGCTAGAACATGAGAAGGTATACATATATATATATATATATATTGTTTTTCTTTTCTTTTTATTTCATTGTTTCTTTTTTGGGGGGGAAGGGGGGTGTTTTTTTCTTTCTTTTTAAACATTTGTTTTGATTATTTTTTATTATCATGTTCTGTACGTATAGTATTATCATTATCATATCAATATGTTATGCTTTCATTTATAGCTTATTATGGTTGATGTTCATTATGTATATCTTATTCTGAAGTTTTATATGATATTCCTTTGTACATTTTTTCAAATATGTTATTCAGAGATTGATTTTCAATAAAATGGCCTGTTGGAGGGTCCAAAAAATATTGATGATTTTTAATCATTATTTGATAAGATTTTATTGATCCAGTAATATTTTGACATTCAACATAAACATAATACAAATATACAGACATTTATATCAATGTAACAACAATAGATCAAAGAAGAAAACAAATGGATTTTTCATCATTATACAAAATAATGATAAATGGTTCAGGCTGTATGCATTTCTCGTACGAAGCCTGATGGCTTTGTATGATAGGTGCATAAACAGACTCAACAAGAGCGTTTAAATCGTTTCATGAACGAATGAAAACATGCATCAATTGTGTTCTATATGTACAAAATTTCAATTGGAAGATTGCTTCGTGTCATTATCGCTGAGAAATAAATCCCCACCCCCCCCCCCCCCCCCCCCCCCTAATTTTTTTTTTTTTTTAAATCCAAAGTTTAAAATGCTTACTTTAGCGCTCACAATATATAATTAAGCGCACTACTTACCTCACGTTCAGTAAATGCATCACACGTGACCGCATTTGACCGATCATTTTGATGAGGATCTAGGATTGAGATGTAAATAAGCTTAATTTATTGCATTACTTTTCGATTGGTAGACCAATAGATTGACCGGAGGCAGAGTGGCCGAGGAGTAAAACCTGGGGAATTATGATTTTTGAGGCGCTTCGGAGCCACCACGGTTGGTACGGTATTGGCCGTACCACTTTTCAGCCTTAAAACAAAAAACAAAAACAAGAGAGAGGTGGAGAGGGTGAAGAAAAGAGAAGAGAAAAGGAGAGGGAGAATTAAAGAGAAGAGAAGAAGAGAGAAGGTGGGAGGATGATAAATGTCATGTAGGCTTATCAAGAACATGAACATCGAAGTGACATGCCTTTTTAGCATTTAATATTATGAAACGCATTCTCACATAAACCGAAAGACAGCATAATATGTGCCACAAAGCCTTTTCATCCAATCGCGAATCTTAAAAATAACACCCTCAAGAAAGTGAGGAATTAAACTCGCCGCCTGATCGTGAAACTTCCTATTTATAGGTTAGGCTACTATAAAAAAATTCCGCCCATTTTCGTCACCTCTTCGTTCAAATTTTAAAAAAATTTGCTTTCAATTCTTGCAACGTAGGCTTAAAGGACATGATTATTTGGACCCAATTCTTCCCGCCCTTCTCTGGTAAATTCATGGGACAACCAGGGCCTACGGCAATTTTTGCGGGTCTCTTTGGCCCATACATCTATTTTATGGGGTAAGGGTGGATCCAGGGGGTGGTGGGGGGGGGGGGGTTGCTGAAATGACATGATTTTCCGGGATTTTTTTCTTCTAACTTTTTAGTAAATTATACTTTTATGCATTTGTTGGCAAATTATAAATTCCCAAATATGCTTGTTTACAAGCCTACATGTTAGGGTCCGCGGAAAGGCGGGGCTCGGGGGGGCTAGAGCCCCGAGGTTAAAGAGAAATAGAAAAAAATTAAGACAAAAGGAACAAAAAATAGTGACCTGCCAGTGTCACAATTAAACAAGGGATAAAAAAATATATGTTCATCTGACCGTAATTGAATTGTTAAAACCTCTGAGCTTCTAGGGGCTCCGCCCCTGGACCCCAAGCCATTTAGTGACCTGCCAGTGTCACAAATAAGCCTGGCATCAAAATATGCTCATCTGACGTTTATTAAATATCTAAAACCCCTGCCCCCCCAAGGACCCTAAGGCGGGCCCTTGGATGGATCCTAATCTGACCGTAATTTAATGCTTAAAAAGTTAAAAAACCCTGAGCTTCTGGGGGCTCCGCCCCCTGAACCCCAAGTCTATTAGTGCATGACCTGCCAGTGTCACAAATAGGGTATCAAAATATGCTTACTTGACCGTAATTCAATGCCTAAAACCCCTAAGCTTCTGTGGGCTCCGCCCCTTGACCCCCGCCGGGGCTTTGCACCTGGAACCCACGCAAATTTACGGTCCACTCACTTCGCACGCTATACGCTTCACCTGACCGTAACTGATCGTAAATACTTTAGCCCCCCCCCCCTCATTTCGAAAAACGTTCCGCGGGGCCTGCATGTGACATGTAGAGTAGCGGATGTGGATGTTTTTCTGCCCCCCCCCCCCCCCCCAAAAAAAAAAAACAAAAAAAAAAACGTTTTGCTCTTTACGCCACTGAATTTTCACTTGTATCAACTTACCATGGAAATTGCCATCAAGAGCTTCAAGGGGGCTTCACCCCCCCCCCCCCCCCCAGTCACGAGTTGTTCTACTCCTTTGAACCCGACCCCCACTGAAATTACGTACCACTTTTAAATTTATTCCGACGGGCCTGTTCAAATTGCATCATGTGGCTCTTCATTGTCAGTGTCTGGTCAAATATATATTCTTTATTATTAATGAATTTAAGCGAGCCATATGTGTTTTTGTATTCTATAACCGCGTCAGGGAAGGCAACTTTAAACAAATATTATTTGACCCCCCCCCCCCCCCCCCCCCTCCTCCGAAAAAAAAGAAGTCGTGGTAATAAGCTGACATTATCTTTCTAATAGGACTGTTTACATATTATAATTATTTCAAGAAATCTTACAAAATTGCAAACGTGTGACCAATTTTATTTTATTATTTCTTCTGACTTCCCTTAATTTAGATTTGTTATGACGATGAACATCTTTTCATTAACATGAAACGTTGATGATAGTTAACAGACTGTTCAGTGATCACCCCTGGGTGATATCGGCATAGTAAAAAGTCGCACATGAACGAATATTCAAACAAAGCAAAGTCGCAATTGCAGACACTGGCATACATCAACAGAAAAAGATATGGTCCAGAGTGTTAAAAGGAAAGGAAAAACATCAACAACAAAAAATCAAAATCAAAATTAAAACTATGTAAATATTGGTGGGTTTTTTCAAAGGGCAAGTATCAGATATCCATGTAGCTCAAGTTTTACCTTACCCTCGGGGGCCCTCGGGTCTTACTATATTTTCGTATCGTTTTGTTTTATTACGTATACATTTGCACTCCACTCTTCTTGCACTTCGCCAATAACAAAGGTCAAGGTAAATCTTTATCTCACACACCGGGCAAGTATCAGAATCACAGAAACGTAGAGCAGCAGAAGTGAGAGCAAGACGCCCTTACACACAGTCTGGCGGAAATCATCGAAATCGATGGATAGCGCCAATAAACTCAACAACAACAACAAATGGCTTGCCATAGTGCTGCATGGGCAGCAGTCCGCGCGGCGTTTCATAGTCAATTGTTGTGAGATTCATAATCCACGGCCGCCATAAAGAAACACAACTTTAAACCATGTCTTCTCGCAAAACGATTGCGTTGGTGAGTAAAATATTATCTAGCTCTTTTCATCGCATTGTGGACAATAAATTGCATGTCTGGTGTCAAATAAAACATATACATGATGTAATGCCATGGCCCATGATGAGAATCCCGTCGGTAATAATCTGCCACGGACGTGGATCAATCAGGGTGCACGGCTCACGCCACCCGCGCCTCTACAGTTCCGGCACTCTAGCTGCTATGGTTCAGGGGAGCTGGGAGCGGGCTGCCCCGCGCCTGTCACCGCCGATCCCATCTGTCGGTTCCAGGTAGCCTTGTTAACTTGGGCTGGATGCTAATGACATTTTAATATATTTTTTGATATTGATATCACCAAGGCCAAACCTTAACTGGCTCCCATAGATGTGCGCAGAGAGGCAGGTAAAAAAATTAATAAAATGTGTCCGAAATCACCCCTTCCTGCACCCGATCTGACAAATATTATTGGACAATGGCTTTAACGATTGCTAATGCCACTCCTAGAGTCCTGCAATTAAAATACGGAGGTAAAAATAACGGAATATTAGCAAATACCTTATTAACTCCAATACAGCTAAGCTTCCTTTCCACATGTGACAGATGACTTTAGTTCTGCATTACAATGATGTTGACCTATGACATGTGTTGTTACTACTAGTTTTCCATTCCTTGTATAGAGCATTTTCTCATTCTGGTCCATCCCTTTGGAATAAGCTGCCACTTAGTATTCGTAATTTAACTGCCCTTCATGACTTCAAAGTTGCTCTAAAAAGCCATCTCTTTCTAAACAGTGCTATTCAATATTTAAACAAGGGAGGTTAGAGGATACCAGAGAAATGATGCAAAAGAATAAGTCTGATCACAAGTCGCACTGTCTGTATACAAATGCAGACTCCATTATGAATAAAAGAAGCTGGCTTCTAACCAGCATTGAAGAAAGTGAAAGCTTGGAGGAGTTAAAAATTCAAGCAGCTGGACTTGAAATAGATGGCTTTGACTGCTTCACCAATGGAAATGATTGGAGAGGTGTATGCGTTTACACAAACAAAGGGCTTAAAGCTACCAAAAATAATGACCTATCGGATATGGTTTTCAGACAAGTCTCCAAGACAAAGGCAATCTTCTTGTTGGTTGCATATACAATGTCTCTTATTTCCTCTTGTCTATTCCTATTTCGATTCCAGGTCACAGGAGCAAATAAGGGCATCGGCTTTGGCATTGTCCGAGCTCTTTGCAAAGAATTTGGAGAAAGGGGCGTGGTCTATCTAGCAAGCAGGGATGAGGGGCGTGGTGAGAAGGCGGTCCAGGAGCTCAAAGGGGAGGGGCTTAACCCAAGATGTATTCAACTGGACATCTGTAATAACGACCATATTTCAAAGGTTGCTGACTACTTCCGGGATACTTATGGAGGCCTGGATATTTTGGTGAACAATGCTGGCATCGCCTTTAAGGTACATTGATTATAGTATGTATAGATATAAAGATATTGTTGTCAGTATTGTTATCATTGTTATAATTATTGTAATTATCGATATTGTTGTTCGTATTATCATATTGATGATTGAAAAAAAAATAATAATGTATAATCATAATCATAGAAATAGAGCAAGATATTAAAAAAAAAAAATACAAATGACATTGAATTTATTGAATTCATTGTTAATGATAATATTCTCTTTCCTCTTTTCATTTCTTAACCAGGCTGCTGCGACAGAACCAGATAGCATTCAGGCACCCGTTACCGTAGAAACCAATGTGTTCGCCACGCTTCGGCTGTGTCGAGCTCTCATCCCGCTCATTCGATCTCACGGCAGGTGAGAAGCTTTTTTTTTTGTTCAGCTACATTTTTTTGTTAACAACTTGGCCAGTCACTGACTACACTTACTTTTATCTTAACCAGAGTTTTGGGAAGAATGCTGTCGTTTCTGCTTTGGTTTGTGAAATCGCTCTATGGCGGAGGCATCATTTTTGACTGCGCGCAGTCGAAGTTCCATCTAGTTAGGAGGAGATTATAATTCAGATATATAGGAATGGCTATTTAATAAAGTCAAGCACAATTCAAATCCCTATAGAGACATCCATGGTTAAAATATATCAGTTAGTGCCTTTAGAGTTGTACAATTTTTTGGGGGAAATATTGAATCAAATGTTTGAGATGTGATACAAAATATTATGCGATGCTGGTTACCTTTTTTTGTAGCTCTCCATCGTTGTAAAATCATTGCAGTCTGGCTTTGCCATAATGATGATTATTTTTTAATCAATAAACCATTCATCTACCTATCCATCTATATGATCTACTAAAACAGTTTCTAACTGGTACAAAGTAACAATGCTGAAAACATAATTTTCTAAGTACATATGTCAAGGTCTGGGGAAATAAGGGAATACGTCATCGGACTGTGGATCACATGGTCTGCAGTTCGAACCCCGCTGCGTCACTCTTGTCCTTTAACAAGACATAAATGTTGGGGCTTAGGGAATACGTTACCAGACTGTGGATTACCGTTCGAGTCCCGCTGCGTCGCTTTTGTCCTTTGATGAGACATAAATCTACATTTGCTACTCTTGAACCAGGTAGTACCTAGGGGCATTTTACACCTCGAATTCCTCCAGAGCCTGCAGGCTGCACAGCTTAGCCGGCCTGATTTATCCGATTTAAATTGATTTCACGATTCTTTTTCAGGATTTTTTCCTGATTTTTTTTCTTTCCTTTTTTTAACCGCTTTTATCCCGCTGTTTTTCACAAATTTTTTTCCCCACAATTTTTGTTTTCCCTGATTTTATCTTGATTTTTCTGATTATTCCCATATTTTCTCTATTCTTCCTTATTTTTCCTCAATGTTCTTATTCTAAAGGGGGGTAATGTTGTTAGATGCCATCCCCCCCCCCCCCCCGAATCCTCCTTTTCTTTTAAAACTCAAGTGGGCATTTTTTTTTAGTGCCCTGCTTAGGCAAAGGTAATTGGATAAAGTACACTGTCAGCATTTCGAGCGTTTCCTTTAATGAAGCTAATAAGAATTTGATTCATTTTGTAGAGTTGTGACTGTGGCCAGTCAGGCTGGATCATCGATCTATGGGAGACTTGGTCCAGATTTACAGAAACGATTCAAAACCGTGACGTCAGAACAGGGCGTCATTGATCTTATGAATGAATTTATCAGGTAAGGTCAATATTATAGTAATAATAAGAATAATATATGAGATTTGTAAGGCACCAAATCCACTTAGAATCAAATGCTCAAGGTGCACTTGTCAACAAAAAACATAATTTACATATAAGCATCTGCATTATAAACAAAAGAACAGGAGTAAGTTAGAACATATTGCTTAGAATTTTTATTCAAGATATAAACATTATAGTTGTTGTAATGAATAGAAACTTGAAAGTAACTTTGGAGAATTTAGTTGTGAAAAGAAAAAGATGAAGATGAAAAAAATAGTAGTAGTAATGATAATAATAATTATAATAATAATATTAGTAATGATAATAATAAAAATGATGATAATTGTAATAATGTACCATACTTATATCAAATCTACCACAAATATATCCTTTTACACTGTGTAGGGAAAAAAGAATATGCATGTATGTAAAAGAAACAAAAAAACTAATTGAGAAGAGTGAGATATATATACTTCATTATGTTACCAGTTAGCGATTAAAATAGTTTTATAATTAATATTAATGAAACCTTCTCTTTAAGATTGGTTTTAATGTGAAATGATTCATTCCAATTCAGTGCTGCTAAAGAAGAGAAGAAAAAGGAGCTTGGCTGGGGCTCGTCTAACTATGGAGTGAGCAAGCTGGGTGTGATAGCCCTTACCAGAATCCAGGGACAAGACATAATCAAGGACTCAAGCAGGGAAGATATCCTCATCAACTCTGTAAGTGGAACTGTCAAATAGTACCTGGGGGGTGTTTCACAAAGATCATAAGTCGAACTTAACTTTAAGTTGGACTAAGGAGAGCAATTTGTAGCCTTAAATTAAATACTTCCAAAAGCAAAAATTGAAGTTTTTTTTTAGACTTTTCATAAATTTCACATGAAGAACATGAAATCTCTTTGATAATAGTAAATATGAATGATTTGAATTGAACACTTTATGCCTTTTGAAATAAATTTAACAAAACATTTTCAATGATGCTAATGGCTTTCCATAATTGTTAAGTCCAACTTAGAGATAAGTTCAACTTAGGATCTTTGTGAAACACCCCCCTGGTAAAAAATAATACACAGCACAGTGAGGGCATTAGTAAAAATTACCCACACAAGGTACCTTTGGAACAGTCTGACACGCCCGAGACGATAGCCAAGGGTGTTTGGACTGTTTTGAAGGTACTGAACAAAATGATGTGTATTATTTGTTTTATAAGATTATGTCTTATTGGTTATATAAAATGATGTTTTATAACATGGTTTTACTAATGATCGGTCATTAGCATTTGATAATGACCGGTCATTATCAAATTACGTTTCAGACAAAATAAATGCCTGGTCACATGTACGCTCTCATCCAATTATTTGATCAGGATCCATGTCATCATCTTATAATTAGTATTATATCCTGTATCAACAATGTACTGGTTTTTGGTTGAGAGCTCTTCACGTGACCAGAAATATTTCAACCATTTTAAGGTAGCTCTGAAAAAGTACTATGTCGGAGTAGAAGTACTATTTGTGAGTTGAAGGGGTGATAATTTTTATAAATTTAATAAATTTTATTAAATTTGAAGTTTTGAAAATGTTGAATTTTTATAAAAATAATTTTAATAATTTTTTTATAAAAACGATTTTTAATAATTTTTTGTATGCAGGATAAAAAACAAATACCCTGCCTTCTTTTTGAGGTACTGGTTAGACTATGGGCCTTGTTGACTCCGAAAGTACCATTTGCTTTTATTGGAGTCGCCTCTTGCCCATAGTTTCAACCAGAACCTCTCAAGACAGTGTTTATTTGTATATTATACAGAAATGATTATTGAGGTTGAGATTTAGTTTGAAGCAAGCAAACTTGTATTTATAGCTCTTAAAATGAGATCCAAATGCAGAACTCATGATGGATTCAAACAGGGAAGATATTTGCATCAACTCTGTAAATGGAATTGTCTACTCTCTCTAATGTTCTTACCGTACTGCTGCAGACAGCCCATCTCTGCAACTTAAAGAAACAAATATATACATGAGTCGCTCCAAGCTATTTTGTCCCATGTGGAACCAACAATATCTAAGGTTTCAGTATATCTCTAACTGATAGCTGATAGCCATACTAAAGCTTTAAAGATAAAGGCCAGTTCTGGTCATGCGATTGCATTGTGAAAGAAACGTTGTGGAATCGATCAGAAAAGGTTGATCATCTAGCATATAAGTATTGGTGTGAACTGCAAGGTTCTGGAATCATCAAAATGATAAGAAATTTGGCACAGTCTTGGTTAAGTTACAAGCACTGTACACAGAAAGATGTATATGGGACTACGCGACCACGTGCGCGATATCTATTTGGTCCAATCGATATAATAATTTACCAAATATATCAATTAGTAGGCAGTTTCCCGGCAAAATATTGTCAATCTGGCGCTGCTCAGTGCCTGCCAGGCTCACAATCTATTGGGCAAAAAGAATTTCCATTTTAGGTTAAACTTATTAAAATTTGGAGTGGACTTTAACAAATTATGATTATTATTATTATTATAATTAGTCAAAACATATTCTTTCACATGATTGGTAATGAGAGCTTCCATTTCTTTTTTTTTGAGAGAGGAGCATTTCCAAAACTGGTCTTTACCTTTAATCACAGAAAACATCAAATACAATGATCTTTTAATGTCAAGTCGTGTTCATGATTCCACAGTTCAGATCAGTAATACTTAGTAATAAATGTAACTTATACCTTGGACGTGCCCAGGTATTAATGTAGTTGTTGTTGTTTATTTGACATTGCCTCTTGTTTATGCAGTGTTGCCCCGGCTACGTGGATACGGACATGTCCAGTCACAAGGGACCGCTGACCATTGACCAGGGTGCAGTCACACCAGTCTATCTTGCTCTGTTACCCGGGGGATGTTCACACCAGGGACTATTCTTCTACCAGAAAGCTGTAAAGGACTTCTGGTAGATGTGTGGCGACGGGGGATCCGATGGATGTCTCTAGAGATTAGGGAAGTGGGTGTAAACATTGTAGAAAAAGGTGCCCAAACTTTGATGTATACCGGTCTTTTTGGCTGATGCTGCATGGAATTTCTCCCAATAATGATAACATACAAATAATAAACAGCAGTGAGGGCATTAGTAAGAATTACCCACACAAGGTATCTTTTGAAGGTACCGAGCGTGGGTTTATATGCCCAAACAAAGTGATGTGTATTAGTTGTTTTATAAGATGATGTTTTATTTGTTTTATAAAATGATGTTTTGTAACATGATTTTACTAATGACTAGTCATAAGTATTTACTAATGACCAGTCATTAGTAAAATTACGTGTTAGGCAAAATAAATACCTGGTTACGTATACACTCTAAACCAATCGTTTGATTAGGATCCGCTTTATCATCTTATAATAGTGTCTAATCCAGTGCATAGAAAGCGCTTTGATATGCCAACCATGGGTCAGCATTAGAGTTAGAATATATAAACAAATTACCAAGCAGTCACAGTGTGTGTTCAATGAGGGTATATAGTTCAAAAATAGATATGTCTTCACACTGTGTTTGAAGTGTTCTTCTGTTGGCGATTATTCCATTTGAGGAGGGAGCCTCTTCTGGGCGGTGTTTCACAAAGATCCTAAGTTGAACTTAACTCTAAGTTGGACTTAAAAATTATGGAGAGCCATTTGTAGCCTTAGAATTAAATATTTCTAAAAGCAAAAATTGAAGTATTATAGACTTTGAATAAATTTCACATCAAGAACATGAAATCTCCTTGATGATAATAGAAAATATGGTTGATTTGAATCAACATTTTATGCCTTTTAAAATAACTTTTACAAAATATTTTGAATGATGCTAAAGGCTTTCCATAATTTGTTAAGTCCAACTTAGACCCCGTTCTCATTCACTTCGTTGGAGCGGTCTAACTAAGACCCGTTCCTCAGGAGCAGTTCTTAGGTGAGTGAGAACAGTCAAAGTGGTCCAGGAAGTGGACTTCTGGACCGCTCCAGAAGACCACCTCGGGAGGTGGTCTTGAGGAACGGGTCTAATTAAGAGCGGTTTGGACCGCTCTAACGTGCAATGTGAACGGAAGCGTACTTTGAACGGAAGTGAGCTAGTGACGTTCCGTGCGAAACGTAGTACGGTACATACGGTTATTCTGCGCGCGAAAAAATTGACCTGCTGACCTGAGCTGCCATAGCAACAAGACCACTGTGACTCGTGGATCGGTTTGAGCCATAAAAAACTGCTCGGAGTGTGAACGCTCGCAAACCGTTCCTCTGGAGCGGTCTAACTAAGACCACTTTCAAAGTGGGTGAGAACGGGGTCTTAGAGTTAAGTTCAACTTAGGATCTTTGTGAAACAACCCCTGGAGTTTAGAAGCAGTAGAAGAGACAGCTGCATCACAAGCTAGTTTGCTGTGGAGTGGTTGAAGGAAGGTCACTGAAAATGCTAGACTTGTGCGACCTGAACGGGAACATCTCCCAAAACTCTCCTCAACATACTTTGGTGCTCTGCTGTTGGACACTTTGTAGACCTGGGGGGTGTTTCACAAAGATCCTAAGTTGGACTTAACAATTATGGAAAGTCGTTAGCATCTACGAAATATGTTTTAAAGGTTATTGTAAAAGGCATAAACTGTTGATTTAAATCATTCATATTTTCTATAATCAAGGAGATTTCATGTTCTTGATGCAGAATTTATAAAAAGCCTAAAATATTAGATTTTTTCGTTTTTGAATATATTTTATTTTACGGCTACAAATGGCTCTCCATGATTTTTAAGTCTGACTTAGAGTTAAGTTCGACTTAGGATCTTTGTGAAACGACCCCAGTAGGAGAAGTTTCAAGGAGATCATGTATCCTTAACTGACAGCCAGAGGAGTTTACGAATCAGAGGAGTTTTATAAGAACATGAAAAACATTGTACCCAAGTCTAAAGGCTGCATTCTGTGCAAATATAAAGTTCTTATTAATCGTATATTGAATTAAATCTGAAGTATGAATTACATTCAATAACTTAGTCTGAATTATGAATTGAATTTTAGTCTGCATTTTGAATTATCGCATTTCGTGTTATCTATGTCCAAGTAAAATGTACTATTCTGTATCCATTTGTATCTTATTGCTGTTTATAATCTGTAATTTTGAATTGACATGCAAACCAAACAAATTTCAAATAATTGGACATAAAATTTGAATTGAATTGAAAGAGCCAATGGTAGAGTACTAGAGTTATTTTTACATATATGCAAATAACATTTAAATATGTAAATTAGTAGTAGAGGCTGATTAACCATGAAGCTGATAGCAGAATGTAGATGTGATGGGTTGAAGTGCAGGATCCAAGCATGGTAGAGTTATTTTTACATATATGCAAATAACATTTAAATATGTAAATTAGTAGTAGAGGCTGATTAACCATGAAGCTGATAGCATCATGTAGATGTGATGGGTTGAAGTGCAGGATCCAAGCATGCGATTGTATTGAGAAAGAAACGTTGTGGAAGCGATCAGAAAAGGTTGATCATCTAGAATATAAGTATTGGTGGGTACTGCAAGGTACTGGAATCATCAACATGATAATAGATTTGGCCCAGTCTTGGTAAAGTTACAAGCACTGTCATAGAAAGATGTATATGGAACTACACGAACATTTGGCATAAAAATCGGTCCCGTATTTTATGATGTTACATGCCATATTTAGGATACTAAGGCATTTGAAGAGCCATGCTTTTCATGGTACATATTTTTAACTGATGTTCTTCCCATTGGAATAATACAATGATGGCACTCACAAATCCCAGAACTCAACCTTCTCTTTAACTCTTTGTATGCTGGGCCACACAAATCATCTGCCTGTACCATATTGTATTCATAATAAGAAAGATATACAATAAACATGTAACAAAGTACAGTGGTTCATTTACTTGACTCTCAATCCAAAATTTTAGGGTTTGGATCCCGACTCGGGTCTTTTGGCAAAGCAATAATCCATGTTTGCCGCTCTCCACCCAGGTGTGTAAATGGGTACCTGGCAATAGCTGAGGTAATAATTATAATTAAAGGGCCCACATGTAGAGCATGACAAATAGTGACCCAATTATTATTATTTATCATTATTGTAAATTGCACAAATCATTATTTTTTCCTGGAGTGTGTTCTTTTTTCTATCCATGTATATGTTGGTAGAGTTTGATTTCCAAACTGGGCTGTACTTTAGCCGATAGAGAAGGAACTTTGCACCGCCAAGAACATAGTATTGTCGATGTGGGATATAGATTCAGCTGCTTACTTTTTCTCTAGCACAAAGTTTTTGAGTACATGTATCACGGACTTTTTCACAGTAAAATGATTATTTTATTATTTAACTAAATCCTCCTCCACCTCACAATGCACAAAAAGCATCAACAGTATAAAACAAATAAACCAAGTGATCAAATGCAGCATATGCGCATACATTTACATAAACAGGAATATGTGATTAACAATAGTTAAGATTCATAACACATGAAAAAGTGAATTATTGAAGTGGGCGTGTACTCTCAGGGTATGTGTATTTCTAATTTAAATGATTATGTAACATGTTTGATATAAATCTGATATTTACCTCTTTTTTTTGTTATTCATTTAAACTGGTTCAAATACCTACATCTAGCTTTCAATAAAGCTTATGACAATCTATTCATGTACATGCATATAACATTTGAATTTTTATAGCATGTTATTACAATTGATGAACTTTGTACCATAATGATACAATTTTGTGTAACTATATATTGCATATATCATCATCATCATCGTTAAGCGTTTGTCTATCCCATGATGTGGTGTTGGACATGTAATTTCCCATATGCCCTTCTCAAAGCCTTCAGCATTCGCCTTGGCCTTGGTTAGACCAGGGGCCCCGTTTCATAAAACTTGTTATCTATAACAAGTGCTAAATTTCTATGACAAATTTGCTCTCGGCCAATCAGATGCCTTGATTTCAGTAGCTTATAACAGTAGCTTGTAACTTGTTATTGATATCAAGTTTCATGAAACAGGGCCCAGATGTTCTCATGTCTTCTTCCAGGTTATGTGAGGTTTGCCACAGGACTTTGATTGTACATGTATTTTATATATGAATGAATAAATCAAATAAATGCTCAAGAGTATTTCTCTATACCTTGTTTTTCATTTTACGGTCAAAATGGATATGTATCTCTGTCTTACCCTATATTTGAATAAAATAATATCCAGATCTCTAGATATTTCAAAACTCACTTGTGTTGAGGTATTGATTAGCAATGGCGACTGGCTGGAATGCTCCCCAGGGAGTGGAGAATGTGCATACCTTGTGTGCGGGTAAGCCTGAATCTGATGACTGGGGTAATATATGTTCTGCGCCTAGAAACAAAGTATTAGGCGCATTATAAATGTGAGCTATTATTATTATTATTATTGAGATATTGATAGATTCCAAAATCACTAAATAAATACATATATCACAAAAAGTATATTTTTGTTAGTCATTTTATGTAGTCACCTTTCAACATCAAAAAAATTGAAGAATTATCTTTATTTAATTCTTCCATTGGTTTCATCTTAAAGGGTAGCCAGCATGTATGTGCATGTGTGTGGGGTGGGGAGGGTGTGTGTGTGTGTGTGTGTAGATGTTTAGATGTGTAGGTAACTTACATAAGATCCTTCTTGACTGATGTTATCCTGGTTTGTTATCGTATTTTAAAGGTGACCCAATTTACAAGCTCTGTTTCACGGGTCACCTTGTCTACTCTATTTCTGTCAAATGTGTTAAATACGTAAATATATGCCAGATTAATAGAAAAAAACGTTGAAGCTTTATGATGTGAGCATTGATGCGTATGTATTATGATGAAAAGAATGTGCTCAAATCTTTAAGAAAATCGGATGATTTTTGTTGTTGTTGTGTTTTTTTTTTTTTTTTGGGGGGGGGAGGGGGTAAATCCTCCTTTTGTTTGAATTTCGGTCACATTGTTTCGACAGATTATAACTAATTACCCTTTTCTAAGAACTTCAGCTTTTGTGGGGTTAGGCTTATTTCATTGCAGTCATTCACCATTCATTATTACCCCCACTTCCGTTTTGTTCAGAGTCGTGTAGTACTATATTTTGATAGGTTTTCACTTCCAGGAGGAACACAAATTCCCTTTCCTGTTCCTGGGTTGTTGTTTTTTTTTTGGGGGGGGGGTTCCCTCCCCCCCCCCCCCCTCTCTCTCTCTCTCTGTCTGTCTCTTTCTCTCTTATTCTCTTTCTCACTCTCTTTCTCCTCTCTCACTTTATCTCTCTCTTTCTCCTCTCTCACTTTATCTCTCTCTTTCTCTCTCTCCTCTTTCCATCTTCTCTTTCTCCTCTCCTCCCTCACTCTATCTCTCTCTCTCTCTCTCTCTCTCTCTCTCTCTCTCTCTCTCTCTCTCACTCCCTTCCCCCCTCTGTCTATACTTCTTCTCTGTCATGCTTCTAGATATTAGCATTATAATGCTGATTGTGTAGTATATAGTGTTTTTACCATGGTGCCAATAGGAAATTAAATCTGAATATGTATGTTTAGCAACCGTCTTTTTATGTTACATTGATTGATCGGCTCATTGTTAGTATATTAACTAAGATTATATTCCAAAATATAATGCTGTATGGTTTGGAAATAACTTTTTGGTTAAAATTGAATTAAAGTTAGGTACAACG